CCAGTACTATGTTGAATAGAAGTGATGAAAGTGGGCATCTTTGCCTTATTCCAGTTCTGAGGAGAAATGCATTCAACTTTTCTCCATTCAATATGACATTAACTTTGGGTTTGTCATATATAGCTTTTATTATTTTGAGGAATATTTTCTCTATGTCTATTTTGTTAAGGGTTTTTATCATGAAGGGATATTGAATTTTATGAAATGTATTTTCTGCATATCTATTAAAATGATTGTATGATTTTTGTTTTTAATCCTGTTTGTGTAGTGGATCATGTTTATTGACTTGCATATGGTGCTTATCTGGGATAAAATATACTTGAGCATGATGTATTACTTTTTTTAATGTGCTGTTTTTAATTTTTTTTTTTTTGGTCCCAATCCATACAATTTTATTATTTTTACCCATCTTTTTTCACTGTTTTTTTTTTCTTTTTGCTCATATTTTGCTGAGGATTTTGGGGTCAATGTTTATAAGGTTTAATAGTCTGTAGTTTTCTTTTTTTATTATCTCTTTTTCAGGCTTTGGTATTAGAGTGTGATACTGGCTTTGTGGAATGAGTTAGTGAGGATTCCCTCTTCAATCTTGTGGAATAACTTCAGTAAAATTGGTATCATTTCTTCTTTGAAGATCTTGTAGAATTCAGTTGTGAGTCCATCAAGTCCTGACTTTTTTTTTGTTGGGAGACTTCTAATATTTGGTTTAATCTTGCTATTCTTTATTGGTCTGTTTAGGGTTTCTGTTTCTTCCTGATAAGGTTGCAGAGGTTGTATGTTTCCAAGAATTTGTCAATTTCCTTTAGATTGTTCTGTTTGTTTGCATAAAGGTGTTCATAATAGTCTCAGATGATCTTTTGAATTTTCATCATATCGGTTGTAATATCTCCATTTTCATTTCTGTTTCTTAATTCATCTAGCTAGTGGTCTATCAACTTTATCTTTTCAAATAACCAACTTTTTGTTTCATTGATCTTTTGTAACTTTTTTATTTCTATTTCATTTAATTCTGCTCTGATCTTCATTGTTTATTTACTTCTGCTAGATTTGGGTTTGGTTTGCTTGTGCTTTTTTAGTTCCTTGGGGCATGATATTAGATTGTCAATATGCAATCTTTCAGTTTTTTATTTTTTGTTTTCAGTCAGAGTCTCACTCTGGCACCCAGTCTGGAGTGCAGTGGCATGCTCACAGCCACCAAAGCCTCCACCTGCTGGGCTCAGGTGATTCTTCCACCTCAGCCTTCCAAGTAGCTGGAGCCATAGGCACACATCACCACACCTGACTAATTTCTTGATTTATTGTGGAGATGAGGTCTTGCCGTGTTGCTCAGGCTGGTCTCAAACACCTGGGCTCAGGCAATCCTCTTGTCTCAGACTTCCAAAGTGCTGGGATTACAGGAATGACTCATTGTGCTGAACCAGTCTTATTAATGAAGAGCTTAAGTACTATAAATTTTCCTCAGACCACAACTTTGGCTGTGTCCCAGAGATTTTGGTACTTGTTTCATTGTTGCCATTATTTGAGGGAATTTTTATATTTCCATCTTGATTTTATTGTTGACTCAAGGATCATTCAGGAGTGGATTGTTTGATTTACATGTTTTGTTTGGTTTTATGAATTTTTCTTAGAGTTAGTTTCTAGTTTTATTCCACTGTATTCTGAGAAGATGCTTGATGCTTTTGATTTTTTAAAACAATTATTGAGACTTGATTTGTGTCCTATCATATAGACAATCTTGTAGAATGTTTCATGTGCTAATGAGAAAAATGTATATTCTGTAACTTCGGGATGTAATGTTCTATTGATGTCTGTTAGTTCCATTTGCTCTAGAGTTCAGTTTTACTCCAATGTTTCTTTGTTGATTTTCTGCCTTGGTGATCTGTCTATTGCTGTCAGTGGAGTGTTGAAGTTCTCACTATTATGGTATTGCTGTTTATCTCTTTTTAAAAGGTGAGTAGAATTTGTTTTATAAAACTGGAGGGCTCTGGTGTTAGAAGCACATAATTTAAAATTGCTATATCTTGTAGTATTGATCTGCTTATTATTACATAATAACCATCTTTGTCTTTTCTTACTGTTGTTAATTTAAGGTCTATTTTGTCTGATATGAGAATCACTACTCCTGCTCATTTTTGGTTTCCATTTGCATGGAATATTTTTGCCTATTCCCATACCTTGAGTCTACTGAAATCTTTGTGAGTTAAGCAGATCTCTTGAAGGCAGCAGACATTTGGGTTGCGTTTTTCAATCCATTCTACTAGTCTATATCTTTTTAGTGAGGCATTGAGACCATTTATGTTCAGAGTTAATAATCATATATAAGGGATTATTTCATTCATTATACTGGTTGTTTTATTTATCTATCTGTTTATTTATTTTCTCTATTGTATTGGTGTTCCATAAGACCTATGAATTTAATGGTTTCCAGAGTTTTCTACTGCTATATTTTGACCTTTTGTTTGGGTATTTAGAACTCCTTTGAGTATTTCTTGTAGAGCTAATCTAGTGGTGACAAATTCTCTCAGTGTTTGCTTATCTGGGAAAGACCTCATTTCTCCTTCATTTGTGAAATGTAGTTTTGTGGGACACACAATCGCTGGCTGACTGTTATTCTGTTTGAGGAGATGGAAGGTGGAGCCCCAGTTCCTTCTGCCTTATAGGGTTTCTTCTGAGAAGCCTGCTGTTTGTCTGATAGGTTTATCTTTGTAAGTTATTTGATAATTTTGTCTCATTGCTCTTAAAATTTTTCCTTCACTTTAACTTTGCATGACCATATGATTATATGCCTTAGGGATGATTTTTTTTTTTCCATGAATCTTCTGAGGGTTCTTTGATCTTCTTGTATCTGGATGTTTAGATCTCTGGCAAGCCCAGGGAAATATTCCTTCATTACTATCTCAAATAGGTTTTTCAAACCTGTTGCTTTCTCTTCTTCCTCAGGCACACCTATGATTCTTAAATTTTGATGCTTTACATAATCCCACATTTCTTGTAGACTTTGTTCCATTCTCTTGATTCTGTTTTCTTTATTGTCAAATTGGGCTAATTCAAACACCTACTCTTCAAGTTCTGAAATTTCAGAACTTGTTCTAGTCTACAGTTTAAAGTTTCCTCTAAATTTTTTTTCCCGAAAGGACTTTTTCATTTCCAGAATTTCACCTTGTCATTTTGTTTTGTTTTGTTTTAAGCTGTCTATTTCTTTGGAGAATTTTCATCCTTGTCCTGAATAGCTTTTTAAAGTTTCTTTATACTGGTTTCTCAATTTTCTCCTGAAGTTCATTGATCAATTTTATAATCAACCTTTTGAATTGTGTGTCTGGAATTTCAAATATTTCATTTTGGTTAGGGTTTGTTGCTGAAGTTGGTGTGGTCTTTTGGGGTGTTGGAGAACTCAGTTTTTTATATTGTAAGGATTAATTTTCTGGTTTCTTCTCATTTGGGTAGACAGTTTTCTTCCTATTTGAGGCTGGCAGGGGGATAATGTAGGCACTGTAGTATTCTCTTAGTTGTACAGAGTGTGCCAAAAATGTACACATTTTAAGAAAGGAAAAAACTGTATTAAAATTGCAATACTCATTGTATACCAATAATAAAAGGTGAATACAAGACATGTTTGACTTCTACAATTACAAGAGGTGCTCAAAGTGGCTACCAGCAGTGTCTAGACAGTTCTAATTGTGGTGAACATCGCTTAAAATGTGTATACATTTTTTTGGCACACCTGGTATACAGTCTTGGTCTGGTGTGCTTCTCAATTGCCCACTGTGGAGGTTCTATGCTGTGTACCTCACTGGCCCATGACATTCTGAGTGGTTGAAGTGGCTTGGAAAGTGGGGTTAGCTGGGGTTTGGGATTAGGTTTTCACCAAAGCAGAGATATTATATCTGATGTAGTAGATTTTAATTTTGACCTCTGCCAGAAGGTAGTATTTCTGGGAGAGAGCCAGCTGTGATGGTGGCTGTGGTCTTTCTCCTTGGCATGTATTACTCCAAAGAAATGCCAAGCCAACCTAGGTGGAGGGCAAGGCTCTGAGAGTTACCCAAGTTCTCTGTTTTGAGCCTTTGAGGGAAGTGAGGAGAGTGGGAGGAAGGTGCTTGAGCATCACAAGAATGTACTCTTGGCAATTCTGGTGAGTATTGGGAGGGGGTCTTGGCCACAGGAGTAATGCTGCTGTGTAGAGTAGGCACAGATGTGTGGAAGGTTGCTATGGCAATAAGGCCCACCCAACAGTCTTCCTTAGCCCCAGACAATCTGCCTTCTGAGAAGAGCCACCAGCCTCAGGATCTCAGGTACTCTCATAGCAACTTGCCCCAGCTAAGAAATGCGGGCAGCCTCAGAGTTTGCCCTTGAGGCCCATTCCCTCCCATGCTGCCAGAAGACAGTCACATCACCTGCAAGGTTTGAGTTCTTGGGAAATGGCATCTAGTGCTGCTCAAGGCTTTCTTTTTTCCTGCACTACTCCTCATTGGCAGAACACAGCTGTGGATAAAGCAGTTTTCTGTGAAGGACTGGAGTCCACAAGGATCAGGGTACCCTCCAAGTCCAGAGCAGAAGTACAGAACTCCAAATTCCCTTCACCTTTCCCACTGTGTCCAGAGGCTGCCAGTTGACTATGGTGGTGCAGGTGAGAGTTTGGCTAGTTTCAGTCCAGATCAACGGATTTTTCTTTTCTTTGCACTTGTGTTTATTATTGCTTCTTAAAGAATTGTGAGACATGCTGCTGGTCTTGTTTCTCTCTGGGACTGAGAAAACTATCTCTGTCTTGAGTTTCTCCTCACTCTAACTGCCTCATGTCAGTTGTCTTAATCTGTTACTATGAATTTTATTTTTAAAATAAATTTTGCCTTTTCTCCTAGCCAGCAACATATATACTTAGAGTATTTCATGTCCAAATTAATAGTTAGAAAATTTGTGTCCAAATTAAAAATTTTGTGTCTGAATTAAATGTTAAGAGATTCATTTCATGCTATTCCATTAACAAAGATCCATTTTTTTTTTTACAGCTATCTACGAGCAGTCATGTGAAGCCTATAAGCACAAAGGAAATACTTCAGGGTTTTACTATATAGATTCAGATGGAAGTGGTCCCCTGGGACCATTTCTCCTATATTGCAATATGACTGGTGAGTTTATTCAACTTTTATTTAATAGTTAAATTTGCATGAATACTTTAAATATACAATATTAAAATGAAATAAGTAGAAAGCTGATCTAATTTGCAACTTGATTAAAATGTGTGTTTTTCAGTAGAATAACTGAACATAAGTTTTATGAAAATGTTTAAATGGCAATGATTTTTTTATTAAATCAATACTTTTTATTATGGTTTTGTGGGGTACAGTTAAGGGTTAGGTGTACAATTACGTTTCATTCAGGCACCCTGTTGATAAGAGGTGTTTCCCCTTCCCCAGACAGATATTTGCTACTGTTAATCCCATCCCCCCCATAGTTTCCCAGTATGGCAATGAGTTAAAATGTTATTTTTTAACATGTGCTGTGTAAAACATCTCATAATAAATATTTCTTATTATGTTCTAAAGCAAAAAAAAAGACTTTGTTTCTCATAGAAGTTGATGCATATGAAAGCTTTGAACAACATTACTTCTTAAAAATTTGTGAACGTAAAGTTTATTTATTCTTGAATTCTTTACTTACATAAATTTATATAGAAATTGGTAGTCATGGAAAATGTGTTTGATCAAGTTCAACATTTATTTATGATAAAAAGAAAACTCGATAGATTACTATTAGAAGGAAATTGCCTTAATTTGATAAAGAGTATCCACAAAAACCCCCACCACACTTACTACAGTTTAATATAAAATATTGGAAGATTTTTCTCTGTTACGAGCATTAATATTACTCTGCTCCATTGTTTTGGAAGTCTTAGCCAGTGCAATAAGAGAAAGAAATAAAAAAAATGTGTTGGAAAAAATAGACTAAGATTCTTATTATTCATATAGATGATCAGGTTATATAGGTTTTAAGAATATTCTAAACAACTTACAGGTAAACTACTAAAATTGAAGATTGTCACTGGATGACAAATTAAGATAAAATTAATTTTATTTTTGTATGTTGGCAATAAACAAGTAGAAAATGACCTTTTAAAAGATATTTTCAAATTTCAAACATATGGCAGTAAATCTAATGAAAGACACACAAGCTTCCACACAGATAAGTATAAAAGGCTTTTTAGATAAACTAATATCCTAAACAAATGAAAGAATATAAAATCTTTGTGGATTAGAAGACTCAATAGTATATAAATCACTTCTTCCAAACTGGACATTGGTTTAATATAAACCAAATTAAAATTTTAGCGGGGTGTTTGTTTATAGGCTGGTGTGATTATCTGGGTGAAAATGAACAAGCACTTTCTGAAATTTATGATCAAATACTAAAGAATGACTTGAGGAACCAAGTCAATCTTGAACAAATTTGAAGGACTCAGCTCTACCAGATATAGACTGTGTACTGATAAACTAAGTAAAATAGTATGTGACTGGCACACAAAGATAAACAAATAGACCAATAAAGCAAAATAAAGAATCTGTAAACAGAATCACTTATATATGGATAATTGATTGATTGCCAAGGTAGAATTGAAGTGTAATAAAGGAAAGATAGTCTTTTCAACCTTTTCAAGTCCTTTCAAGTCTTTTCAACCTTTCCAAGTCTTTTCAACCTTTTCAAGTCTTTTCAAAGGTAGGGCTAGTAGAAATTATATATAAATGTCAAATAAAGAAATATTGATTCTTTCCTCATCAAAAACACACAAAAGATAGATCATAGATGAACTGTACTGTCCAATATGGTAGCCACTAGCAACAAGTGCCTAGTTAAATTTTAATGTAATTAAAATGAGTTATCAAATTAAATGGCTAAATATATTTTTCAAAATTCAAGATTAAATTTAGAAAATGTAATTAAAATAAGATTAAATTAAATGTTGAGTTCCTCAGTCATATTTTAACTATTCAAAGGCCTTCTGTAGCTAGTAGGGAATGTATTGATTATCACAGGTGTAGAAACTTTTCATCATTGCAGAAATTTACATTGAACAGTGCTGTGTTAGAAAGTCAGAGTTTTATGGAGCAAAACAAAATCAAAAGGGCAATATTAAATTGAGGCAGGGGTTGTTGCAAAGGAAAATTTGCTACTTCAAATCGGGCAGTGAATATCTGGGGAAAGAACCTTCCAGGCAGAGGAAAGAGCAAGTGCTAAGTCCCGAGACAGATGATCTTGCCAGGTGTGTTCAGAAAACAGCAACAAATACGGTAGCTGGAGAGTATAAGGAGTGAGTGGGGAGTAGTAAAAGAGGAGAGAGTCAGGCTGGGTGGGGGCTGAGAGGAGAAAAGACATGAGGTTCTTACAGCAATGTCACAACGTCTTTGATTTATACTCTGAATGACACAACATGCTTTAGAGAGTTTTAAGAAACAGTGGGATGCAATCAGACTTCCTTTCATCGAATTGTAATTGCTCCTGGGTTGGGAAAAACCTATTAAGGAGCAGGGGTGGAAAGAAGTTAGACTATACATACTGTATATAATAGAGCAAAACAAACATCTAAAGGGCAATATTAAATTGAGGCAGCGGTTGTTGCAAAGGAAAATTTGCTACTTCAAATCGGACAGTGAATATCTGGGGAAAGAACCTTTCAGGCAGGGGAAACAGCAAGTGCTAACCCGAGACAGATGATGTTACCAGGTAATAAATAAACAAAAAGTTGAATCAGTAACTTGAAAATATAGATCTTATTTCAAAATCCAGTTTTTAGTCTAGAATTAGTGTTAAACAAATGATTACACATGCATATATATATTTCTAAGCATTATAAGCTAAAATAGGACTATATAATAGGAGTTAAGAGAACTGTTAAGAGGCCATTTCAAGTAATGCAAAACTCCAGGAATGAGGTGATGATGGTGACTTCTTGCACCATATAATAGCAATATAGATGGAGAAGGGAGGTTAGATTTGCTCATTGAATACCTATGATGTGTAAGAAAACAAAAGAAGCCAACAATTACACCATGGTTTTTGACTGAAGCAATGAAGCGTTTGAACTGCCAGCATTTGGGATGTGATCAGAAAAGGCTTAAGGGAAAAAATCAGAAGCTCTGTTTTGCACATTTTGAGTTGAACGCGTCTGTTACCCATTCAAAGGAGATACTAAGGAGGCATTTGAATACGAGAGCATCAATTTCTTTATGGTAATGTGTAGTTCTCCCACCTGTGGGTAGTGGTAGAGTCTGAGCTGCTCATTTATTGGAGAGAAATTACTATAGAATGCTTCTTTTTTTTTTTTTGAGTTGGAGTCTCACTCTGTCGCCCAGACTGGAGTGCAGTGGCCACTCCCGGCCACCGCAGCCTCGACCTGCTGGGCTCTGGCGATCCTTCCGCCTCAGCCTTCTGAGTAGCCGGAACTACAGGCATGCACTACCACCCCCGGCTGATTTTTTTTTATTTATTGTAGAGATGAGGTCTCGCTGTCCAGGCGGGTCTCGAACCCGCGGGCTCAGGCAATCCACTCACCTCAGCCTCCCAAAGTCGCGGTATTACAGGCTGAGCCACCGAGGCTGGCTATAGAATGTTTCTTTAGAGATTTTTTAATATGATGCACCTTGGTAGTTTTCACTTATTCTCACAAACATGAAGTACATCGCCCCATACACCAAAGCAACGGAAAACAAACGGTGGTTCTCACATGCAGGTCTCCTTAATGAAGCTACCCAGTCTGCTCAATACAGACTCCAGACAGTACCCCAGGAAATTCTGACTCAGTGATTGATGTGGGGAGATGGAACCAATATCTTAAACAATCTTCCCAAATGATTCTTAATGTGTACCCAAACTTGGGGACCACTGTTTTATTCAGACTTACAGTTCTCAATTTTTAATATGCCCAGACTGCAGTCTTATGTGAGAATTAAATATAATAAATGTGAAACAGCTTCAGAAAGAAAAAGGGAAAACTTTATGATTGTAAGGTATAGATTCATATATATATTTATATTTATCATATATACATATATGATTATTTTCCAGTTTGGATAGGTTGGATTGTGAGTGAGGCTTATTTAACAGTCTATCACTGCAAACCTATGTTTCTATGATCCCATAAATGCATTCTGAGCTATTCACATACACATGTTACATGTTATGCAAAGTCCTGATTCTGAAAATTAGATATCTTTAAGTTGATGAATATCTTGTCTTGAAGATTTAGCACGCGCGCGCACACACACACACACACACACACACACACACACACACCCATAGATTTTCATTATTTAGAGTAGCTATGTTCTATAAAGTAACCAGGAACACTGGATTAAAGAATACTGAACCATTGTTCCTAGGGGGAAGAACAGTAAGATTAGTTTTCTGCACGCCTCTGGTCATGACATTCTCATCAACCAATCAATATATAATCCTGTTTAATGTATGTTTCAGGTTAGACACCTTTTAAATACATATTGCTGACTCATTAACATTGAACTCATGCCAACAGCATGGTAACTCATGCTTGACCAAATCTTATCTGACACATTTTCCTTAAAAGGTACATCACATGCAGCCTTCTTTCTACACTTAGGAACACTAGATGACACTTCAGCACTATGCCAGAGCACCATTTTAAGCAGCAAAATCATCAACCAAAAGGATAAATATGCAAAAAAATGTAGCATTTAATAGACCACAAATAAGACACTTGTTTACAGTATGAGAACTGAAACAAGGGAATGAAGTCCCCTTTGTTTAACTGGATATGTGTTCATCAGGCAAGCCGAATTTTTGCTGTTTTGTGTATATTCACAAATGACTGTAAAAGCATTGGCATTACACATAAAGCTTAGTAAGGAGGCAAAATTCACAAATAATGAGGATTTTCAAGTAATTAATATTGACTGTATATCTATCTCCCTATCTAACATTTATTTTGGATACTAATTCAGTAATTTATAAGCCATATGTACTTTTATTATCTAAAAGGTGGTGAAATTATCCATTTTATTTTATTGAATGTACTATTTTATTTCTATTAATCAACATGTACATTTTCATGTTACATTATAAATTTATGTACTTTATTATGGAAGATACATTTTTCACA